TAGAGAGTAATTACGGCGTTATTCTTGCATATAATGGATAGTCTTGATGGTTAGGCATTAATAAACAAAACATTCACAATTGATGCTAAGGCCTTCCACAATGAGTTCCAACTTTTTTTTCCTTAATATAAATTAAGAGTGGTGATATGCCCACCCCAATATCTTATTTCCCCACTCATATTATATTTACACCCACCATAAAAAGTGAAAAAAAAATACATCAACTCTTTTCCCACCCACCATTATTTCCAAAATAACCCTACATATTTCTTTTTCAATTTTTTCTTGCTTTAAAAAATTATTACAAATTAAAAAAAAAAACAATTATCACTAAATGAAAATACCCAAGCACTCCAAATATCACCAGCAATAGCCTCTCCCTAGAAAACTTGTAGAACCGACACTATCGACTCCCCAAATCCCCAACACCAAGCGCCCCTCCTCTATCGCCAACCATCGCAGCACCACCACGTCTCGAAAACCACTCCAGTACCTAATTTCTATCGTTTCCAATTTGAATTCAGACCACACAAGAGATGGTGTGATTAAATTGGAAGAGCTTCACTCATAGTTTGGTGTTGCATTGGCTTTCCCTAACATCAAATTCTTCCAAATTCAGTATATGGTAGGTATCCAAATTGTTCCAAAACACCAAACACGATCGGAATTCAACGAGTGTCGGATCCGTGGGTCCCCTAATGTAATATGGACTATGAGCTTCTCTCCTCATCTATCTCAACATTATAATAGTCTTGAAGACTAACTTGCTCTACTCTCTGGTGAAGCTTGATCACACCTTCCACAACATGCGCTTTATTGCGAGCCTCGAGACTTTGCTTTGTCAAGTCCGAATTCACCCTCTGCCTGATAAGTTTAATTTCTGAACTTCCTTCCCCAGGAAAGCTTGTGGGGTTCATTATATTTTTTTTTTTCTTTTTCTTATTTATGATATTTTAGGTTTTTTTTTTATATGATTGGTTGATCTTTAGGTCTTTAAAGGTCATTTTATACTAGGATAAATTTGTCAATAAGAGTATCATTTATAGTGAGTATGGAAATAAGACACTGGGATGAGCTTAACAGCACTCTAAATTAAAGGGTTAATATCAGTTTACTACTTTGAAGTTTCATGGTTTTCAACATTTGATACATGAAGTTTTTTTCATCTCAGAGTCATATCTCAAGTCTTAATTTTGGGCCAGTTTCATACCTTCGTTAAGTTTTCCATTAGTTTTTCTGTTAACTGATGACGTGGTACCCACGTGGACAATGACTGGGCGCCACGTGGATATTAAAAAATAATAATAAATAAATAAATAAAACCCTAAAAATACAATCAATCTTCAACCATCTTTTCAGTCCCCATTTACGCATCCTACAATCCAGCCTCACCGCTAGCCACCCTCCAATCCAACCCCATCGCCACCACCTTCTCCTTCATCAACGTCATTAGCCTGGCGTTCCCGCCTTCCAATGCCTAGTTCCAAGAACCGACCGTCGACACTATCATCAGGCCCCTCCTCCAGTTCCTTAACGACACCAATTCCTCGTTCTTGATCAACCTCTACCCCTACAACCTCTACAAGATGCGCAGCGAAATCCCGATCGGATTTCCTCTATTTCAGGAACACCCATTTGAATTCCGAGACGACCTCACCACCGACGTCTGGTACCGAAACCTCTTCGACATGATGGGCTCACCATTGCACTCACCATTCCCCCTCCCTCTTCCCATTTCTCTATCTCTCTCCCTCACCCCTTCAACCTTGTTATGGGCCTTACCACGGCCTCGGCGACAGCTTCTTTAGCGGTAGGTCGAAGGGCTTGCTTGTTACCCTAGTGCGGCCTCTGCCTACTCCTCTGTGAAGCTTTCGGAGTCTTGGGCATGGCTGGAATTTTGAACAAATAGGTTGGGGCAGAGTGGAATTGGAGGCAATCGGAGGTGAACTGGGTCATGTTGGGGTCCGATTAGGGGGGATTAGGGTTGGATTGAATGGTGGGAGGTTGGAATTTGGGGGTTAGGGTTCGGTAGAGAGAGCAAATAGGGGGAAGAAAGAGAAAGAGGCGTCGAGTCCAACTGTTGGATGATGCGGGAAAACAAAGGAAGACCAAATGAGGGAGGGAAGGGTTTTCGGCTATGGGAGGGAAGGGGAGAGAGAGAGAAATGGAGGGGGTTGCAGAGGGAAGAAGGAAAGGAGGTGGTTGTGGATTGATTGTATTTTTATGGTTTTTTTATTTTTTAATTATTATTATTATTTTATTTTTTGTTTTTGTTTTTAATATCCATGTGGCACCTAGTCATTGTCCACGTGGACACCACGTCATCGGTTAACAGAAAAACTAACAGAAAACTTAACGAAGGTATGAAACTGTCTCAAAATTAAGACTTAAGGTATGACTCTGAAATGAAAAAAAAATCATGTACCAAATGTTGAAAACCACGAAACTTCAAGGTAGTAAACTGATATTAACCCTAAATTAAAATAACAATATTACTTGTTTCAAACGATTTACATTGGTATTTGATTGACATTAGTTTTAATGCCCCTTATTATGCTGCGAATAGTATTTTACAATTAGTGTGATTATGTAAACTTAGAATAGTGTGACAATCTAATTCAAGCACCACCATGAACGGAAAAAGCACGAACTCAAGCAACCTGCAAAACAGAAGTAACCGTGAGCAAGCCTTAGACTGGAGGGCGGTTTGTCAGTCAAAGGCTCTCCGACGATCAAGTTAGTAAATGATTTGAGACTCAAGCAGTAGGCAAGAGAATTAGAATACTTAGAATGCAATACCTTATATGAACCCTAACTGGGTGTATTTATATTGACTGTGTGGGAGTTGTTTTTAGGATATAATCCTCATTCTAAAAACGAGAATAATCCTAGAGGATATCTAGGATTAGATATTGCATCCTCTTAGGAGTGTACTTACTTGCGGCGCATGCTATCCCTAGATTGTAGGAATTCCAAGACGTATAAGGATCTTATTGTGTCCATATTCGGATCAGATTGCGTGTCTTCCAGAATAAGCATGGTCATTCTAGCAGAGTCGCTTAGACTTCGCCTATTGCCCCAGACCAAGATAATAGTGGCACCACTACTCCATCTGATACAACTCCATTCGAAGTTGCTGAGTCAATGATAGGACTTCTGAGGTAACATTATTCTGATCAGCCTTACTCCAGCCTTAGAAAATCATGATCCCACAATTGCCCCTAACTATGCATCTGAAAAAGCAACTTGTTCCCCTTGACGATGGATAATTATCCAAAGACCATGCCTTTCTAAGTAAGCTAGAATACATACCATTTGATCTTCCATTGCTTTGCGGTAGTCCGACTACTAGAAAAGTGGTGGAGACGTTTTGAGCTTCAAACATGTAGTTTCTAGTTCCATGTCATAACGGAAGTAATGATGAAATTACATATCTTGTTTTGTATACACAGGAAATGAGAAATCACTTTCGACGTACCTTTTCGTCAGATTCGATGATCCCAAAGACGAGTCGTTCCTTATTCAACGGCTAGATGATTTGAAATGCTCATTTTTAAATTCCAATGGTACCTTAATTTTTATCTCCACACAAAGCTAATCATCATCCTGCGTATCTTTCTCTTTCTTGCCCCAATCTGCATCTGCCTTTCTTCGCAAAAAACTTCTCTAGAATTCTGCACCTTATGGTTGATCTTCCATCTACCCACTCCGTTTCCCTTGGTAGTAACAATTATTCTCTAGATCTTCCAATGCTAAGGGTTTGCAATAAAGAAGAAAATGCAGCTTTTTTAGCTGGTCGCACCCATATTCTGAATGGATGTAAAGTTCGGTAGGAAGATAATTGTGATGTCGCTGCAAAACCTCCACTTCCCTCACACCCTAAACGCCCATGTACAAGGATTCATCCCTATTACCTTGATTTAGGTTTGAAGTTCCCTTTATCACCCCTTCTAAGGGGAATTCTGGTCTTCTTTCAAATAAGCCTCTGCAACCTCACCCCATATTCCTTCCGGAAAACCACCTGCTTTGAATGCCTAAACGAATGGTACAGTGCTGAGTTAGGACTCCCTGAATTCCTTGTTCTTTATGCATTGCGGAGGAGCAATAATACTCGATATTACCTTCAAACTCGGGCCAATCTTAGATGGAAGCCTTACATTACTGAATTGCCTGGCCAAGACAATGATTGGTACTGTGACATTCTTCTTGTCACAACATCACTCGAATGGTTACAAATCCAAACACTCGAGCGATCGATATGATAGGCAACAATAAACTACATATACAACCAACAGACTTCAAAGATTTTAAACAGGAAAAACAACAACCTTTTTTCCTCTCTTTTTCCGTGTAGGCCAAAACCTCAAGCAATTTCCATTTTTTTCTTCATTTTTCATTTTTTTCCCTTTTTTTTCCTTCCCTTTTCTTCTTGTGTTTTTGAGCTGTATGCAAACGAAACTTCATCAAACGTAAAACAAAACAAACCGATTCAACCCGGGGACTAGGGTTGGCAAGGAATTAACAGCGATCAAGGGCAGTAAAAGTTCTGGTGGGCGTGGTAGCGATTTAGGTTGTGGGTCAAGTACGGGTCACTGCGAGGTCGTGTGGAGGTTGATTGGGTGGCTTGGCGACAGGGGTGGATTCAGACGGCAGATGTGTTGAGTTTTTACTGCAGCGACAGCATGCAGATAGGAATCTAGTTTCTAGTTAATTGTCTAGTGCGAGATGGTGGTGGTGCACATCAGGTTTGGTGTGGTCGAGATCAATGGGCAAACGGGATCTTGGGTCTGGATGTGGACAATGGCAGCTAGTTCATGTGGATAGCCACCTAACTACTACGAGACATACAAACCAAGAAAACAAACATCTTTGAACTGATACATGGAGGACAAACGAACGAACAAATTGATAGCCACCTAAAGCAAATTAAATCTCGAAGAATCAAACATGCTCTAATACCAAGTTGAAAACTAAAGTATGCATTACAAACGAACAATTAATACTAAACTACGGATATTATTTATAATGAAGAATGCCGAGACGACGACAAACTGAAGACTACATTGTAACGGACTTATTCTCAAGTGAATTACAAGCATTCTATTTATAGTAAACTAAACCCTAACGAAAACCTAATTCTAATGGGTTGGGCCCAAATCCTAAACTTATTATTTTCCAACAAAAGTATTTGTAATGCCAAGCATAATAAAAAATATGATCATACATTATTACAAAACTAGATAAACATAAACAGAAGGGAAGCACCCTACACAGTAGGAAGACTATAATACTGCCAAGCCCACTCGTCCTTAAATGTAGCCTTGTGCTCACTAGGTCCTGAAGGGCGAAAACAAAGTGTGAGCGGTCATAATCATTTATGTAGTCAAAATCGTTTCAACCATACTAACCCCTATTTTGGAAATCATATATAGTTTCAAACTACATACATACTAGTATCTACTACAATATATAGTCAAACGAAACCACATTCAAGTCAATAATTAAGAAATCATACCGGGCCGATCAATAATAATACTAGCATCTACTAGTAAGAGTGCATGGCTACACTGGCGTCTACCTGTGCATTGCTAGCATCTACTCGCATATCTAGCCTCTACCAAAAGTATCATATCACATGCACAAATCCTATGGTCGCAATTATCTATACTTGACATATAAAAGACCATGTGGTGAAAACTAATCATCATAATAAATAAATCAACTACATGGTCATCAACCAATTCTATTTAATTCCCATCGATGACTACTTCAAAACAGTTAAATTCATCAAAAACAATTAATAAAAAACTTGAGCGTTGAAGGGATCCACTCACTTAAATTTTGAGCGTCTCTCTTCAATTTAATTTATTTTCACTTAAATGTGATAAATGACTCTGAGTTTGTACAAATAAAGTGCACCATGTGATTTGGAACGTCGAATACCTTTGGATCCTCTCCGAGGCAATGTCTCGGGATCCTACTGACTGGACAAGATGAGTCGTTGGATTTTGATCTAACGGTGATAATTATTATAATTTTTAGAGGAATCCTCTATTTGTAGTCGTTGGATCAAAATCCAACAGCCCATGTTGTTTGGTAGGTAGGATCCCGAGGCATTGCCTCGGAAAGGATCCAACAGTTGAATAACCTTAGGTTAGGTCTCAGGTCCCACGGGCCGCCACATGCACCGCCCCACGTTGCTGCATGCTCCGCCATGGCCCACTTTGCGCCGTCGTAGTGACATCACACGCTAGATGGTCGCCGATGGACGCTACCGCCAGCAGACGCGCTGTTGTACTGATCGTCGACGCTGTGGCCACGCACCATTTGTCGAAAAATCTATAAAACTCAACAGAATATACCTTCGCTGTTAGATATTCTGTTAACTCTAACGGAATCTACCGCTACCGCCATTAAGGTTAACGGCGACCGCCATGCTCCGCCGCTGGATTCTACAGAAAAACTAGAAACCGATCAGAGCTTGTTCAAGCTCAAATTCAACCGTTTTTTCATCAATTTTTCCACCAAAACCTCATCATAAGCTCAAGAATATCACCTGGATCGAATTTGAGCAAAGAGAGGTCGAATCCACCGAAGTGGATTCGACGAGGTCTCGTTGGAGAACTCCACCGATTTCTGGAATAAGAACACCGAGACAAGCAGAGGTCAAACCCTTGGAAATTAGCTTAGATTTTAATCAATTTCGTACCGAAAGCTCGAGAAGCTTACCAAGGTAAAAAATTTGACAGGTTGAGGTCGAATCCACCTCGGTTTCGACAAGTTCTCGTCGGACCTCCTCGCTGGAAACTAGAAATGAAGAACAGAGAGATTACAGAGCTTTAGACCACAATTTTCAGTTCAAAAGCAACTACACAACCTGGAAAAATTACCTGGAATCACAAGCAGTCGAATTCGAACCCAAACAACCTTTCGTTTGTTTAAACTCGAAACTCACCGGGAAACTCGAAGCTCTCGAGTTTGTGAGCTCTGCACATTTCCACCAAGCTCCTTGTGTCACAGAGATCTGGATTATGGTGGTGATGAGGTGAATTTCAGTCGGATTTGGTGGTGGTGATAAAGGCTGTTCTTGGTGGCTAGAGAGAGTTGCAGAGTTTAGGTTAGGGAGAAGAGTCGAGATGCAAATAAGGAAGAAGAGTGACCGAGAGAGGATTAAGTTCTACTTAAAAATTTCCAAAGTGAAATTACTAAATGCCCTCCTTCATTAAAAAATTTAACTTGACCTCCGTAATTCCAAAATCCATTTCACTTTCTCCCACGCACTTGTGAATACGAAAAATAATTTAATAAAATAGAAAAACATGAGAAATTGGGATTTAGCTTAGAGGTCTATAATTATTCCACTCAACTAGGGTTATTTTGGTCATTTCATACTTATTGGGAATAAAACACATTTTTAAGACGAGTTATAACAAAACCAATTGAAACCGAGAAAGAAAACCCAGCAGAGGGAAGGTTTAGCTTGAATCCAGAGGGCAAAGAATAACGGCCGCAGACAAAGAGCAAGAACGGGGGAAAGGAAATGTCGAAGTGCAGAACCGGGGAGGAATAGCGTAAGCCCACTTACGGCTGATTTGGTATTACTGTGCTTTGAAAAAAAAACTGTTTCTGTTGTGATGTGAGAATAAGCAGCTGTGAAATAAAGTAGTAGAGTATTTAGTTAACTTTTTTGTAAAAGCTGTCCTTTTTTTTTCTCTCCTCCTTCTTCATCTTTTTATTTTAATTTCCTCCTTCTTCATCTAACCGACATGGCAACTGCCATCTGAGCAAGTCTGCACTCCGACGTTGTGGCTATGCCCATTGCACTACTCACCTCAACGCCGTCTTTGATGGGTTGTTCTTCAAGCTCTCTCACCTGTCTCTCTCCCCAACCCCCTCTCTGAATAAATTCGCCGGATCTTGATGAGATCGAGGTTGTTGGATCGGATGATGGAGACAGATCCATCGGGTCTCATAGGAGAGAGAGAAATCAATTTGAAGCAAAGAAGGGGTTGGGTTCAAGGGACGTTGGAGATCGGCGAAGCCGTTTCTGGTTTGGTGATTAGAGAAGATGGTAGATGGAGCCATTTCTGGTTCGAGGGTGTTATTGGACTTTAGAAAGTTTCATTAAAGATGCACTGTAGCTCCGCGTGCTTTGAAAAAAAAAAAAAAGCCAATTTTCCAAAGCAGCATTTAGCTGGTTTGGCTTTTCTGATGATTTCAATTGTCAATCACAACAGCTTCCAAAATAATCCCCTTTTTTTTAGTTTACCAAACACCTTCAACACCTTCAACATAAAAACTTTAAAAATAAGCAGCTTTTTTTTTTTAAGCACCTTAATGTCAAACCAAGGCTTAGCCTAGGATTAAAAGTGCAAAAAACAACAACGTTAGGGTAGAGTTAATTCTGTTCGGTTTTCTAACCACTGAAAATCAAAAATTGAACCAACCAATTTTGGTTCAATTATTTAAATTTCGGTTTTGATTTTTTTTTTTTTTTTTTTTTTGGGTTTTTTCAGTTTCAATTTAGTATTCAGTTTGGTTTTTTTTTTAATTTTTTAAACATACTCCTAATTGGTACTTCAAAATTCTCATTTTGCTTTCTAAACTTTATATATTTAGAAAGGAAAATAAATTTGTGAGAAGTGGAAATTGAGATTTTTAGAGTGCCAATAAGAGTTCTAAAAAATAAATGGCAAGCAAAATATAAATTGGATCCTCGTCGAATCCTCTTTGTGAAGATCCTGGGGATCCTCCAATCACATCTGTTCATTGTACATCGTGCGGTCAGAAATTATTGTAAATTTTTTTATTTAAATTGAATATAAACAGTACCTGCCAAAACTGACCGCACGATGTACATGTACCGTTTGGTACGTGGGATAGGAAGGAACGGAGTGGGACGAGGTGTTCCGTTCCACGTTTGGTGCGCCTAAAACAAGTGGAACTCATTGTTCTACGGGACGAGTTTTTGGTGAATTTTCGTTCCGCCTCACCCTTGGAACGACTCGTTCCACATCCGTGGAACACAAATCGCCGATTCTATATCCACTCAAATCTTCAAAACCCCTCATCTCCCATGGCTGCCTGCATCAATACTCAGACCAACCAACTTTCTTGGGATCCCAATGTTGGAGATATGCCTTGAAAGTCAATCTTTAGAAGAAACCTTTCAGGACAATGAATGGATGTATGGATGATTCTTATACATCAAATGGCAAAGATACTAATTAGGACTATCTCTATAAACGATATATGTCATAAATAGTGAATCCATGGACAATGGATTGATGGAAGAAGTAATCTAATGATGTTAGACTACAGAGACCTTCTTCACATAACCATCATGTCCAAAAAGGTTCCTGGTCATAAGATTGTCGGAGGGATACTGACAATGCATAGACCGGTACATACTATGTCCGCTTCAATTAGAAGGATGGAAAGTCTCATCCCATTCGTGTAGTGACACTAAGACAAGTATGTAGGTGCTCATTAAGGGAATGAGTTCATTGAACACAATCGAACGAGAGTACTTGCATGGAGGTCTACTCACATGTCAAGCAAGTAACTCTAATGGTTGGAATAGTGTAAGTAGTCATTTGACCTGAGGCATCATCGTTGTCTTGTGGTTATGTACTTGATCTTTGATTATGTCAAAGTCACTCCATCCGCGGGTGTCCACGGCATAGTCGGGGTTAAACCACTTAGTCATGAAGGCAAATGAATGTTCAACAAGGAATCTCTAATCCTCGTATGAGAGGATGAATACTCTAAGATATGATTCGGGAATCTTCGGCCGAAGTATCGAGCGTAATAAAGGAAAACGTTCCTATACGACTCAATTGAATCATATAACATGGAATAATCACATTAGGGGGTTGACATATTATATCCATACCCTAGTGATGTGATTGAGAGTATTGTTTTAGAGAAGGATCGAATTGCATTGTAATTCCAACTGAATAGGTTCTCCGAACAACTTCTACATTAGCTTGGGTAGCCATGATATATGGTTAGATGTCACTCATGGCTTGTGAGTTCTTCTAGATGATTAAATGTAGTCATCAAAGAAGAAGGTGAATTAAAAGTAAGTTAATTCACTAAGTGATTGGATTAAATATAATCAATTGGATTGGTGCCAATCACCTCACTGCCTTACTAATTAGAACCTAAAACGATTGTTCACCAATACACTCTTGTAGTGAGTAACTAATGGATGATGGAGATAATTAATTGGATTAATTAAGTGTTGTGATTAATTAGAAAGTCTAAAGAAATCATAAAAGCGATATAAGATCGTTTTGGGCTTAAAGAAACGTTCGGGTTTAATTGGGCCCATTGGGCCTAAACCCATTGGGCTTTTATTCAAGCATTGGATGACTTCAAATAAATAAAAGCCCAAAAACCCAAACAACACTAAGGGGGCCGGCCATATAGAGTGAAAAGGAGAGATAGGAAGTCAAGTTGTTGGCTAGGTTTCTTTGTGTTATAAAAGGAACTTTATAGTGAAAAAGTTCATTAGGGTTTTGTGTGTTGTTTTTCACAAAAAGAAGAAACCATCTCTCTCTCTCAAAACTCACACAAGGCCGGCCACCATAAGGGTGATTTAGCTAATCATTTTCTCACCCTTTTGGTTATTCCTTCATCCTTCTCACTACACTAGTGGGTGAGGATCTTTAGAGGTTTTCAATTTTGAAAACTTGAAGAGAACTTAGGAGCACTCATTCTAAACAAAGTGGAGGAGGCAATGAAGGAGGCTAGGCTCAAGGAGTTCAAGGAGTAAAGGTCTTGGAGGTGGTCCATCCTTGGTCTAAGATCTAGATCAAGAGGTATAAAACTACTCCTAAACTTTGTTCTTTTATATGAATTTGTTTTTGATGCATCTTACATAAACCTATGCATCTTGAAGGGGATTTGCATGACTAGAGCTTTGATATTATTTGATAACATGCTTCCGTTGCTTTCGTATATAAATCTTGAATTGTATATGTATGCTAGTCACTAGAAATCCCACATGAAATCTCATAAATTTCCCTTCACCCAATAGGTCCAGTTCTAACGAAGACCGTTGCCAATTCATGAACTTCTACCGCCGCAGCTTCTCCAATCAAGTTTCCTGTGCACCCATTTGCAAGAACCGAATGAAAACCACTCATACGTGCAGAATCGTGGACAATCTCGACCCAGATGAAGATCTATGACTCAGAATGTAGGACGAAGTTCGCTCGGATATTGATGATAAACCTATCTTGTCAAATTACTATCACTCGCCGATTCGAGAGGTACCCACTTGGTTTTTCCCAACGATTTGTTCAAAATTGGTCTGAAAGATTTCTTGTATGTTCCGTCCTGCGCGTACCAAACATACACGAAATCTCCACTCCGTCCCGTCCAATCCCGTCTACGTACCAAACGGTACCACAATAAACGAATGTGATTGGAGAATTCCTGAAATCCTCACAAAGAGGATCCAGCGAGTGATCATCTCTTGATAATGTGTACGCTTATTTGCACTTATGTTCAAACCTTATTTCTCATAAATTAGAATAGTAGAAGTATTGTCTCATAACAAATGAAAACGCCACTATCATTACTCAAAAGAAAAGGAGAAAAAAAGAAAACAAGAATAAAAAAGAGAGCAGGATACGTGACCAATGAAAGATTTGGCGATCACTATACAAATATAAATGGTGGGATAAAATTTCTTACCATTTACATAAAAATATGATGTAAACTCGTATTCCGTCACAAAAAAAAAAATTTCGTAACGAAGTCCCACGTCCCGCCAAACATTCCGAGGGCGTGGTTCTCTCCCACAAAAACCCTAATTTCCCATTTTTGTCGATTTCCTTAAACCCTACCCTCCAACCTAAGCACAGCCACTCACACTCAAACCTCCGAAACCCACACCTCCGCATAAACCCTAGGCACCTCTCATCCACCGCCGCCAAATCCATGGACCCAAAAGCCGTGAAATCGGAGCTGGTCCTGATTCTCGACTATGGCTCCCAATACACCCACCTCATCACCCGCCGAATTCGATCCCTCTCCGTCTTCTCCCTCTGCATCTCCGGCACAAGCCCTCTCAAATCCATCACCGACCTCAACCCCCGCGTCGTAATCCTCTCCGGCGGGCCCCACTCGGTCCACACCCTGGACTCCCCCAGCTTCCCTGC